GAAGCTCATGATACCATCTACATGTTTTGTTAGTCTTTAGAGTGCTACCAGACTATTTGCTGTTTTTTAAGTTTTTTTAGAAATTATAAGTTAGGTCTAGCTATTGTCCAGGAGCTATAAACACCAAAGGTTGATAGGTTGTAACATCTTCAGAGAATTACCCTCACCTGGGGAGACTTGTTCCAACTGGTTCCAGAGACCAAAAGACAAAGAAAATACTTTTGCATAAATAGTTCAAACTGACTCTGGGCCTTTCTTTGGAGCCAGCGAACAGACAGGAGCTTCTGTCGGGGGGGGGGGGGGGGGGGGGGGGGCGACTGCCCGTGATGGCGCGGAGGACTTTTCAGTTTAGAAAAGAGGAGACTGAGGGGGGATATGATAGAGGTCTATAAAATCATGAGTGGTGTGGAGAGGGCTGATAAAGAAAAGTTATTTATTAGTTCCCATAATAGAAGAACTAGAGGATACCAAATGAAATTAATGGGTAGCAGGTTTAAAACTAATAAAAGAAAGTTCTTCTTCACACAGCGTGTAGTCAACCTGTGGAACTCCTTGCCAGAGGAGGCTGTGAAGGCGTAGACTATAATAGAGTTTAAAGAGAAGCTAGATAATTTCATGGAGGTTAGGTCCATAAAAGGCTATTAGCCAGGGGATAAAATGGTGTCCTTGGCCTCTGTCTGTCAGAGGCTGGGGAAGGGGCACCTGGTGTTGGCCACTGTCGGTAGACAGGATACTGGGCTAGATGGACCTTTGGTCTGACCCAGTACGGCCGTTCTTATGTTCTTATGTAGATACTGGCATGGTTAGGGCACTGGAATGGTTTGGCATAAATTGCCTTGCGAGGTTGGGTAATATCCATTATTTAGAGCTTTTTAACAGCAGGTTAGACAAACAACCGACACAGAGGGTCTAGATGGTGCTTGGTCCTGCCATTAGTGCAAGGGATTGGGCTTGATGACTTCTTGGGGTCCCTTCCAGTTCTATGATTATATGATCAAAGGGGAAATATGGGTCCCCCAGGATAATCCTTATAATCAGATTCCCTTACTTTTAAATATTAACTAGGGGGAAAATAGTCCTAGAACTACAATATTTGTGTCTTCCAATGTTGCAAACTGAGCTGAGTCTTCCATCTAGTGGTAAAAATCTGGTGAGCATTAAAACACTGTTGGCTCCCTTGTGTCAGCTGAGCTGGGCTTGCAGGGCTCAGGCTGTGGGTATATAACTGCAGAGTAGATGTTCAGGCTCAGTGAAGCAGAGCAACACACCGGCCTTCTCCACTCCACTACAATCTCCTAAGCCAGTGTGCTGGGGCTGGAGCTCTCTGCTTCCTGGTGCTGCAGTGAAGAGGAGTGTCTGGCTTGGCCTGGGAGACAGCGGCGGAACAGAGCAAAGGCTTTGTTCAAGTAATACATGCCTGTGTTCACCATGCCTATGGCTCTGGGACTGGTATGCAAGGGAAATGAGGGACATGTCTTTTTTTCTGCTTCTCAATCAGGGGCCACATCAGTCGGGGCCCTTATCGACTAATCATGTAGTCAATGCAAATTGTATTGACTGCATGATTAGTAAGATAACCACAATTTAACATCCCTAGTAAGATAAAATTAGAACCTTACCTTCCAGAAGTCAACCATGCTACCTATCGTCTTGAATGAAATTCTATCTGTCTCAGACACAGAGGTATCCAGAAAGAGATTTGACATGACTTTGTTCAAGTAATACATGTCTGTGTTCACCATGCCAAATGTCACTAGCAAGCAAGAAAGAGCTTGAATGCAAAATGATTTCTAATGATGAAGACAACTACCAGTAGAACAGTGATATCCTGACAGTACTGCTTACATCAAACTAAAGGTATTAGCCTGAAAACACAATCTAAAAGCAGGGGTACTTTTGGTCTCTTGAAACCAACTGAAGATTATATACTTTCCCTTAATATCAGGGGTATGTATTTATCCTTATCTCAGTAACTATACCAAGGCACTGCATATATTACAAGGCACCAGAGCTCTTTGTTTAGAATGTGTCTAAATAAAAGGAAATATCTTTGTTAAGCACCAGAGGGGTGTGTAATATTTTCAATTTCATAGTGCCTTTCATTTCAATTCATTTTACTGTTATGGTCCAGATCCTGATAGTACTTCAGTTAAGTGTTAGTTCTGTTTTACAATGGGGAACCATCTTCATTAACTGTTATTCTGCAAGAAAAGTTTTGTCCCAGCACATGCAAACGAAACCACACTGAAATCAAAGGAGTGGGAGATTGAGGGCATGTTTGCACTACTGTGCTATATATCTGCAAGAAAAGTTTTGTCCCAAACGAAACCACACTGAAAACAAAGGAGTGGGAGATTGAGGGCATGTTTGCACTACTGTGCTATATCGTCTGGTGAAGATGTGCTATGACAATGGGAGAATGCTCTCCTGTTGGCATAATTACTCCACCTTTGCGATAGGTGGAAGCTATATTGGTGGAAGAACATCTCCGACCAACATATAGCGGTGGGGACAGCATTTTAAGTTGATGTAACTTACATTGTTTTCACACCCCTGAGCAACATAAATTACATCAATTTATGCAATAGTGTAGACTAGCCCTGAGTGGTGGTATCTCTCAGCCTTCCTAGTCCAATATTATACATTGAAAGAAGTGTAGCTCTCTCTTTGTAAGCCAAAAATATTTGCAGATAATGCATTACAATTCATTTAGTTCATTAGTAGACTTACATATACATAGATCTGTAAGGAAAATTATATAGATTAGCAGTTCCTGAAGGGTAGTTTTCATTTCTAGCTCTCTGCTATAGGTGAGACGAGGTTTCACAATACCTAACCATGTGAAATAAAAAGCATAATGAAAAAGAAAGGCAAGGATGTAGAAGAGAGGCATACATAGTCACAGAAATAATACATTAAAACCAGGTTCCAACTACGCTGAGAAAATCCTCAAGCCTTTTAACATTTCTAAAGTGAAACACTTTTAACCCTGAAGTTTCCCAAATAGGTTTTGAAATTCTTATTTGCTGTGAAAGTGGCTTTCATATCAGAGGAATGTGCATGCTAGGGGTGTTTCCCATGCTTTGAGCACTGGATGGAGTGCTTGGGGCTTCTTCAGGATCAGATTCCTTATCGACTTAAGGACATGTTAGTGCCATAATATTGTATGAGCAAGAACCCAACTCTCTACTGCAAAGCCAGAAAGTTGGTGTGAGAACTTCTGGGGTTGTTCAAAGAATGGAATGGTGGGTGAATGGGACGGGGTGGACATTGCTTTGGTTTCATTCCATCCCCTCTGTTTTTAAGTCACATAAGCTTCTAAACTGCCCTCAAACCTTATACCTCTTTGTCAGGGACTTAGCTGGACTTAGCTGGAGGGAGAGTTCCTACCACATTGTCATTGCTGTACAAGCACAGTAATTACTAACAGGCTTGCCCAGCGTAGACAAGGCTGCACTGTGCCAGGTCTGAAATGGCCACGTAGGAGAAGCTGCAAGGGTGAAGCTGGTTTTGAAGGGCACTGGACAAACTGAGAAGGGGATGGGTAGGTTGTGATTTCTAGACTGGACAGGGAAGGGCTGAGCTGGGCTCACCAAAGCAGGGGCAGGGACAGACCACACAGGTTGTAAAGGGGCATGGTTGCCAGCATATGGATGGGCAGGCTTAGATGGGTGAACAGGAACTGGGCTGGGCTCTCGTGGAGTGCCTGGGGGAGGAGAGCAGGAGGGTGTATGGAGAGGATTGGGCTGGCTTGGAGCCTGGGGGAGGAGATTTGGGTGTGTGGAAAGGGGCTGGGTTAGCTCAGTGCCTGTGGAGGGGAACTCGGGGAGTGTGTATGGAGGGGGGGATTGGGATAACTCAGTGCCTGGGGAAGGAGAGCTGGGGATGTATAGGGGGCTGGGGTGGCTCAGTGCCTGGGGGAGGGGAGCTGAGAAGGT